ATCAGCTAAATGGATAATGAAAATATGACATTTATAGCCAATGGAATACTATTTATCCATAGAAATGAATAAATCCTGTTATTTGTAGCAAAATTGATGAAAGTGGAGGACATCGTGTTGAATAAAATAAGCCAGACTCAGAAAGACATGTACTGAATGTTCTCTTTCATATGGAACAAAAACAAAACAAAATAAACACTACAGTCTGAACAGAATTTTGATTGCTAAAGGCTGAGAGGAGCGAGAGGGATTGAAAGAATTTGGATCTAAAAAATAGGGAAATCTGGGTGTGGTTCATTAATTATGACAAACATACTAATATGAGATGTTGATAATAGGGAAGCTGGAAGATTGGGATAAATCAACATAAGATGTTAGCAATAGGAGAAACTAGGTGTGGGGTATGTGGGAGCCTTTTGTACAATACGATTTTGTTTTGTAAATTTTAAAACTTCTGAAATAAAAAGTTTTAAAAATTATTTTGCTACGAAAACACTTTGAGATCCAGTGTGTACAAGATATCTTCACAAAAATAAGGGGGAAGTATGTTGTGAAAAAAAAAAAAACTGTATATGGCCGGCACCACAGCTCACTTGGCTAATCCTCTGCCTGTGGTGCCGGCACCCCGGGTTTTAGTCCCTATTGGGGCACTGGATTCTGTCCCAGTTGCTCCTCTTCCAGGCCAGCTCTCTGCTGTGGCCCGGGAAGGCAGTGGAAGATGGCCCATGTGCTTGGGCCCTGCACCCGCATGGGAGATCAGGAGGAAGCACTTGGCTCCTGGCTTCAGATTGGCACCGTGCGCCTGCTGCAGTGTGCCAGCCATTTAGGGGGTGAACCAACGGAAGGAAGACCTTTCTCTCTCTCTCTCACTGTCTAACTCTGCCTATCAAAAAAAAAAAGAAGGAAGGAAGGAAGGAAACTGTATAGATGTCATTTTTTGCACTAAAATGAATTTAATTCCATTTTCCCATGAATCTTTTGAAGTGCATTTGTATAAGAGAGATTATACACATGCACCCTCCATCCTATAGGGAAATCTATTTTTCTTGAAAGTTAGTCTAATACCATTATTCTAGAAAGTTATTTGAACTCAAAAATTTGAACTCAAATTTGTCTCTCTAGAATGTTTATGTATTGTGACTTGTCTTTCCTTTGCAGTAATGTAGAATTTGTTCAATTTTTCTTCTGTATAATTACCATGTAATAATCAAGAAATCTAATCTCTATATAGGCTTCATTGTATTCTCTGTAGAAGAATTTTCTGGAGCTTTAGGAACAAATGTCTCCAGTAAAAAGTGTAAAAAGCATTTAAAATGGAGGAAACCCTTGTAGTTTAAATGTGTTCATGTGGCTTCTTTCTGATATATAATTGATGATTATATTTGGTCTGATAAAATATTTCCAAAAGATCTTTAATTATAAAGAATTGAAGCTAAAAATAATGGTTTTATGCAGCCAATTTATGTACTGTCTTTAGGGGGCAGTGCTAAACCACTGATTAATTTCTCCATTTCTGCTAAAGGTCCTAGTAATGATTAATGTAAAACTAAAATAGCATTTGTGATACAATTATATATAAACCTAAATGCTAATAAAATTTTCTAGGTAGTCAAATGAAAATGATAGTTTGAAACTCATTGATCCAATAAATATTTAGTAAGTTCCATTATTTACAAATATTGTAATATGTAGATGTGAATAAGGCAGTGTTTTCTTTCAAATAATTTACAATTGAATACAGTAAGTAAGCCACATTTTGTGTGTGTGTGTGTGTGTGTGTATGTTAACTCAGAACAGAGATAATGAACATGGCAATACTTATTATTTTTATGTGCTAGTGCCTGTCAGTAAATAATTTTATCTTCAAAGGCACTTGGGTCATCTTTGGATGCTTTTCCTGTATCATTAGCAGGGAGCCAGATCAGAAGTGGAGCAGCTGGGACATGAACCAGCGCCAATATTGTATGCCAGCATTGCAGGTGTCAGCTCTACCAGGTATGCCACATGCTGGCCTATCGCTCTTTCAGATAGGACTTATTATTACTCCTACTTTGACAGATAGGACATGAGGATTAATAAGATATGTGATATGCTCAAAGTCACACTGCTTGAAAGTGGCAGAACTAGGACCTAAACTCGTATTTATTTGACTTCAAAGCTAATATTCTTTGCCACTGTGCCATCTGTCATTTCAAGGTATGTGTTACATACTATCACATATGTGCTCACACAAAGAGCTGTAGACATTTAGAGGAAAGTAACATTATTACTGTTATGGGCATTCTGAAAAATTTTATATAAGAGATGAAATATGGGATATATTTTGAACCAGTGGGATTATAAAATAATAACAGCTAAAATGCTGATTATATTTATTACTTCTACTTATCAGGAAAAAAAAACCCTTAGGGAGGTTTTACTATGGTGTTTCCCATTGCCTAGGTAAGGCAAGGGAGGCTAACAGTGGTCATACCTTCTTAAAATCACACAAGCGATAGGCCAGCATGTGGCATACCTGGTAGAGCTGACACCTGCAATGCTGGCATACAATATTGGCGCTGGTTCATGTCCCAGCTGCTCCACTTCTGATCTGGCTCCCTGCTAATGATACAGGAAAAGCATCCAAAGATGACCCAAGTGCCTGGGTCCCTGTTAACCATGTGGGAGACTTGGAAGAAGCTCCTGGCTCCTAGCTTTGGCCTTGGGGAGTAAACTAGTGGATAGAAGGTCTCCCCCTCTCCCCCTCTTTCCTTCTCCTCCTCTCCTCCTCTCCCCCTTCTCTCCTCCTCTCTGCTTCTTCCCCCCTCCATTGAGCTGTTGTATCCCAAATTATTGAGAATTTTTACTGGCTGTCCCAGATGGCAAAAGATTCTCCGAAGCATCAGAATGTAGTGGAAACATTCACAAGTACACTTCTTTTATTAAAATTGTGTTTATGTGAGATTGAGTTCTCAATCTATCTTACCGAAGATTGCACCCAGCGAGAGGTCCTGTATCTCAGTGTTTAAGAGGGGTAAGCTGTGTAGTCAGCAGTCTGACTTAGAATCACTTACCAGTTCTCTGTCCTGGGGTTTAACTTGACTTCTCTGTACCTTAGTTTCCTCATCTATAAAATGAGGGGAAAATAATATATTCCTACAGAACTGTTGGGTGAGTTAAAATAATTCATGAACAGTAGTCCTAAGATACTATGGAGCACCTAAATTCTCAGTATAAAAAGATATTAGTATGTAGCTTACAAACGCTGATTAAAGGACTATTTAATTTCATCATCTAAAAATTACTGTTGATAAAGGCAAGGTTAAGATGTAAATGTGGAAGAAGAATCCTAAAGCAATAACTTTTAGGGGTAATCCAATCTGTAAATATGTGACTTCATTAATCATGATCCATCATTGTGCTAAACACTATATTTTGAACAAATTATTTTCATTTGTATGTATCTCTTTAAAGAAAATTCAATATGCTGAACATTCAGCAGTCTCTGTAGAATTTTTCTTCATTGTGGCAAATTTTCTTGAATTGTTTCTTTGATCTCTCTGTCTCTACTTCCCTTTTAATTTTTGGAACTTCTGTTTAGATGTTGGACCTCTTGGTTTGATCCCCTAGTTTTCTTAACTTTTCTTCATCTTTTATTCTATGTTCCAAGATAGTTGCTTTGATTCCATTTTCAACTCTTCTATCTGATTATAAATATGTATGAATGTATGTATTTTGTAACTTTCTGCTTTTGTTTCATGGATGCAAGTATCTTCTAGCTCAGGACCCTATTTATGATTTTCTTTTATATATTCAGGTTGGTTTCTGTTAGAGACTCTTCTCAATTATGTAATGATTCTTGTTTATATTTAGAACATTAGGCACTGTTGATATAGGTGGAGCATGTTGAAAGGTGGGCCTCACAGTAGGCATTAAAACACAGGCCCCTTCATTTTGTTGGTTACTTGCTTACAAATCTTTTTCCTTGGGAGACTAGGTTCTACAGAGAGTATTTTAACCTTTCACGTGGGGAATATAATAAATGTAGCTGCCATGTTCTTCAAGGAATGCACTGGTTGGGTTGGAATCTTCGATTTACTACATAGATAATACCTTAATTTCCTTATTTTAGAGAACCATCTCTCTGCTCACTGTATATATTCATAGAATTCAGTATCTTTGCTTCAACTTCTCCAGAAAGCAAATCTCTGATTTCTTGCCACTAGTGAAGCTGTGCCTGGCATGGTGAAAAGGAGATGGATCTGAGTCTCAACTCCTTCTAATCTAGTAGTTTTATTGTGTTTCAGCCTCACCGACAATTAATATCTTTGCAGGTAGCCAGTCCCTCTCATTCTTCCTTCATGAAGGCACTTTGCTTTCAGTGTTCTCAAGTTTGTTAAATAAGGATAACTTATACCTACTGTTTGTCCAAAAGCTTCCCATCACTATCCAGAAGTTTCCTGATAACTGCTCATGCTAGGATATCTCCTGAAGTCCTTATCTTTAAAATTTTAAAATGTTTATGAATCCTTTGCTCTCAGTTTGATGGGATTTGGGAGGTTAAAATGTAAATATGTATATTTAACATAGCAGTCTCACTATGAATTTTAAACATATTATTCCTATTACATGTCTAATATAAAGCTTTATGAAGTTCATTTTTGGTATAAAAATATAATTTCTGGCAATTCCTATTTCTATAAAGGCTTTTCACATTAGTCCTGATTGTATTCTTAATATTATACCTAAACTTTATTTCTTAATAAGCTGTGAGATTTTTCTCATGTGTTGCCATTCAAATATTTTGAGCCATTATGTCCTGTTCTTTGGTTATGAACTTCATATTTTATTTTTTTCAACCAGTTTTTCCACTTTCAACTTAAACTGAATTATACTTATTTCTGTCTCAGTCATATGACTGGGTTCACTTTTGCTTGCTAATACACACAAGTCATTTATATAATTTATATTTAGGTATCTGAATCACATTCATGTAATATACTGGTATAATATAATTTCAGAGAACTTCATCTACAATAAATTTGTCACCAGGAGAAGTGGAAGAAGATGATGATGAAAACACATGTGGGCCCTCAGGAATTTGGGAAGCACTTACTCCTTGTAATGGGTGCAGGAACCTCGGCTTCCCCATGCTGGCACAGGTAAAACTTTGCTTTCGTTAAGGTACAGTAAACTTAAAACTAATTTCCTGTGTTTTTAAGATTTTATTTACCTCTTCATCTTATTTACTTCATTATTTTTTCTTTTAATATGTCAAGTAAAATGCACACATAATTTTGCTGTATACGTTTGTGCATATGTAAACATATATACATTTTTAAAAAATTTTGGTTATGATACAGAAAAGTTCTTTCCTTTAGAGTGTTTTAATATTTGTGTTCCAGAAGTATATTATTTTAAAGAATGCTACTTTTGGTAAGTGAGCTGAAGTTACAGTTACAGGAAACACACATTAGGACTCTTTAAGACCATAGCTAGTGATTTTTTTTTCTTATAAATAATGTGAATGTATCCTACTAAGGATTTTTGGAGTATAATCCAAAAATGATAACAGAGTATTAAGATACCAACTTCTAGTTTGAAATCATTTTACCACTCATTGCATCAGCTTTCATTCTCTTGTATCACCTTCAAATTCCTGTTGTGTGATATGGACCATACACCCCTTAGAGGTGTTTCAGAAATGAATAAAATATTTTAGAATTAGGAATTTCGAAGCCACAATAATATCTCTACACAAAATGAAAAAGTGTATGTAATAATGTAATGCTGTTAAAAGATTCAATTGACAGGCATTTATTTGGCTGAGTAGTTAAGAAGCCACTTGGAACAACCCATTGTGCAGTGACTTGGTTGGAGACCCAGCTCCACTCCGGATTCCAGCTGCATGCTAATGTGCATCCTGGGAGGCAACAGGTGATGGCATGAGTAGTTGTGTTCCTGCTACCCATATGGGAGACCCCAGAATGAGTTCCTGGCTCTTGGCGTTAGTATAGCCCAGCACCAGCAGTTGTGGGCATATGAGGTGTAAACCAGCAGATAGGAACTCTACCTCTGTTCACTTTCTCAGTCACTTTCTTTGTCTTTCCCCCGCCCCTCTCTGTGAGTGTGTGTGTGTGTATGTGTATGTGTGTGATTCTTTCATCTCTCACTCTATCTCTGACTCTCAAACAAAACTAATAATTAAAAAATAAAGGTTAACTCACATAGGAAAAGAGTCTAGGAAGGAGAACAGTTCAAATAAAAAGTCTAAGACTGAAAATAATTCACAGTAATTGTTCACGAAAGTGTTATATTTCAATTTTTTAAAAAAGATTTTATTTATTTGAGATGTAGAGTTACAGACAGTGAGAGGGAGAGACAGAGAGAAAGGTCTTCCTTCCATTGGTTTACTCCCCGATTGGCCACAACAGCCGGAGCTACGCCAGTCCGAAGCCAGGAGCCAGGTGCTTCCTCCTGGTCTCCCACGTGGGTGCAGGGGCTCAAGGACTTGGGCCATCTTCCACTGCTTTCCCAGGCCACACCAGAGAGCTGGATTGGAAGAGGAGCAGCTGGGACTAGAACTGGCACCCATATGGGATGCTGGTGCCACAGGCAGAGGATTAACTTACTGTGCCATGGCGCCAGCCCCTTTAATTTTTTTCTACTTTGGAACAGACATATAGCAGTTATTTGTAAATAAACATTTTTTCACATGTCTGTGTCACCAACAATTTGTTCATAGCCTCTGAAATTCTAATTGTGGGAAGCTAAATGTGAAACTCAAAAAAAAAAAAATTACTGCTTTAAAATCTCTATAGGAATTTTAAGAATTTATCCTAATCTTTACAGAATTGTGATTAATATGTCCTAGACTGAGTTTAATAAAGGTAAAGACAGTCTTTTCTTAAAATTAATCTGTGTAAGAGGGAGGGAAGGATAGTAATTAACTTTTGGTTTACAATTTTTTATTAAGAGGGAGGGAGGGAAAGAGAGTGTGGAAACATACAAAAACACTTTCATCTGCTGATTCACTCCCCAAATACTTGCAGTGATTGAGACTGGGCTGAACCAAAGCTGGAAGCCAGGAACTGAGTCCAGGTCTCCCATGTGGATGGCAGAACTCAATTCTATGAGCTGTCACCACCATCTCCTAGGGTCTACATTCACAGGAAGCTGGAGTCAGGAGTCAGATCTACATATACAACATGGACACTCCAATGTGGGGCACAGGACATGTTAACTAGTGTGTTAACTGCTAGGCTAAATGCCTACCCTGAGATCAGCCTTTTGATGTTCAACGTCAGTGGTCTAATGTCAGGGTAATTTCTAGTATATGGTCAGAATTAAGTAGTAGTTGAATAAATCAATAAGTAAATTGTATATTGTAGAGTTTATGTCTGAAATTTTAAATGTAGATTTTTATCTTATATCCACATGGATAAAGTAGAAAGGAAATTAACAAGCAGAAGTTTTAATTTGTTCATATAATCTTTATTTGCTTAACATATTACCAGTAATTTGAGTATTTTACATATTATTTGCATAAATTAATATTGTTAAAAGCACATTTTAAACAGTTAATTGAAAAGTAATATAGTATTTAGGGCTCTTATTAACATGTTCAGATTACTTATCAAATATGATTATATCTCATTTTTCAATACTTTACTATTGGTTAGTTTTATTGTTTCATTTTATTGTATTATCTTGTTATACTTAATAGTGATTTGCTTTTGGTTATTTTCTGATAGATCTTCGTTCCTTTGGCCACTTTTCTGTTAAGACTGTTGTTGTTTCAATTAATTTATTGCTTCTTGAGATAACAGTTTTAGTTATATTTATCACATAACATTTCCCAGTCTGCAACTTTTTTCTGGTCTTAATTTGTGTATGTGTATATGTACAAATGTGTTGGGTAGTTTTTAAACTATTAAATTCTGTTGATCTTCTATTACATGTTCTATTAAACTTCTATTAAACTATTAAACTTCTAAGTCCTATTTTTGATAAGTTAATCCAGAATTCCTTTTAACATAAATTCCAAATAACTCAGCATTATTATTTGCCTGTTGCTATCTCGTTTTCCTGTGAATTTCCATAGAATAATAACTCAACATTCTTCTCATATTTCATTGTTTGTCTTGGATTTATTCTTGAAATCTCATTTATTTCTGCTTTCCTATTTAATAAATGATATGACTCAGTGTATTAGTCAGCTATACATCACTGTAACAAATACCTGTGAAATGCTATTTATGAAGGAATGAGATTTATTTTGGCTTATTTATTTTAGTCACAATCCAAGAATCAGTGACCACATCGGTTGGTCGTCTGATAATGATGGTGGTGATGACAAATGGTAGACAGATATGGCAGAGGAAGGATCACATGAGGAGTCAGGAAGCAGAGACAGGGAGCAAACGCAAGCACGTTCGCCTGATTCCTCCTCATAAAGTCACCAGGATTTCATCAGGAGGTTTCCATCCTAGCAATATAATACATTATATTGACTTCCCAAGGATCCCACATTTAGATACCATCATTGGATTAGGTTTTCACCCTTAATCCATTAGCTATTAACATAAGATTTTGGGATGAAGCATTTAACACATGGCCTTGGGGAAAATCCAAACTAACACTCAAACCATACTGTTATTATTACAGTAAATTGATGACTTTGAATTTGCAAAGCTAAAATATCCAACCTACAAGATGATTTTCATATATTGAAGCCACTTTTATAGATCTCATGCATTTTTGGATTCTATTAAAAAAAACCCAGGTGGATGTTTGATCTAGAGGTTAAGACTCTGGTTGAGATGCTTACACATTGGAGTCCCTGGTTTTTTGCTCAGTTCCAGCTCTTTGCTCCAGATTCCTGCCAATACAGACTCTGGAAGGCAGCAGTGCTAGTTCAAGTAATTGGACTGCTGACTCCCACATAGGAGACCTGGATTGGGTTCCCTTCTCTAGGCTTTGGCCTCATGGGCATGGATCAGACAGTTGAATTCTGGCTATCCATATGGGAGGTTTGAATTGGTTTCCTGGCTCCTGGCCTTGGCCTCCGGAGTATTATGGAAGCAACCAAGAGATAGGAGTTTTCTGTTTCTATCTGCCTCAGTCTTTCAAATAAAAACAATAATAATAAAAACCATTAAGCCATACGGTGTACATATAATGCCTAAGAAAAAACCATTATCTTAGAGTTTGGTACAGGAACTTTTGGAATCAGTGCAATTAGTATACTGCTACATAAATTTTTATGTTCCCATATTTGTGGATTTGAACAAATTATATTTTACATATATAACCCTCAATTTAATTGAATCAAGAAAACATGTATCAGATATCATTTGCATTCAAAGCATAGTGCTTACCTTTAGCAACATAAATATTATGGAAAGAGTACTGACTTAATTGGATTATAGGTTACCCATACATCTGGTTCTGGACTTATAATTTTTAGATTATTACACAAAATTTCCTTGCAAAATTAGAATATTGATCTAATTTCTAGGTTTTGTCTAGATTTTTAGTTGATTCTATATTCAGGATTTAGTTTATTTCTGCCTCCAAGAATACTAACATTATGATGAACAGACTTTTTTGAAAAGATTTATTTTACTTGAAAGTCACAGTTACACAGAGAGAGGAGAGGTAGAGAGGTAGAGAGGTAGAGAGAGAGGGAAGAGAGAGAGGTCTTCCATCCACTGGTTCACTCCCCGGATAGCCTCAATGGCTGGAGCTGTGCCAATCCGAAACCAGAAGCCAGAAGCTTCCTGTGGGTCTCCCATGTGGGTGCAAGGGCCCAAGGACTTGGGCCATATTCTCTGCTTTCCCAGGCCATAGCAGAGAGCTGGATCGGAAGTGGAGCAGCCAGGTCTTGAACCGGCGCCCATATGGAATGCCAGCACCGCAGGCAGCAGCTTTACCCCACTACGCCACAGCACCGGCCCTAGGATGGAGAGACTTTATAGAGTATTTTGGAGTTCATGATATGAATATATTATATGGTGTTTTATCCTTGTGACTAGATTGATGTTTCTATAAGAAGCAATACCTTTCAAAAGTCATGAAATTTTAGAATTCTAAATATCCAAGGATTAAAGTTCCTGGAAAATATCTAGAAGATTTAGTGTAAATGGACTTGTGCAGATCATTTCAAAGCAGTTAAATAAGATTAAAGTTGTGCAAAGAGTTAGTAGGGAAACCAAGAATGAAAAGACTTGGAAAATGAAACCCATTTTAGAAAATATGGCTAAACCCAAATTTGTTTGTCCTCATTCATGGTCATAATAATTGTTGCCATTTACACAGTGCCTACTCTGTCAAATTCACTTGAACAATTTCTGATTCTCAACTAAGTGTTCAAAGGAAGAAACATGTAATCTTCTCAAAGTCACAATAAGTGGCAAGGCTATGTATGATTCAAGCTTGGATTTTAAAAGCTGTATCATGCTGCTTTCCTGACTTTGTTTACATTTTTCTGATTCCTGCTAGTTGCTTTTGTTGCTGGCTATATGCTCAATTTTGGAAGTTTTAGAAGAATCCTCTTTGGCTATAATTTGGGATCACATCTTTGAGAATAACTGCCAACATTTCATTATTTATTAATTTAATCACAAATATCAAATTAAGGGAAAGTTGAAGATGGTTCAGAGCCTGTTGCTAGATTGCCACTAGTTTTTTGCTACCCTTCCTGTTAGTAGAGAATGTCATTAGAACAAAGAATTCTAGTTGATCAGTTGTATTTGGGTGAATGATACTGCATTTCCCCACAGTCTTTCATGATTTATTTATCTCTGCACCATATGTGCCACAGAGCTTTGAGGCTATTTACTCAAAAGTTAATCCTACTGAATGGACACCTTCTACCTTCTGTCCCATCCACTGATATAGCCTCCACTCTACAAGGTTGAGATATGTTGTCTCTGTACTGAACCTTTAGCTGTTTTTGCAACAGGCTTGCCAATAGTCTCTGATCCTGCAATTGCCACACTCATGCTGTCCTGGGGAGAGAGGCCAGAAGCTCTTCCTGATATGGCTGAAGCATCATTTGAGAATTAGGATGTACTTGTAGCCCTCACTATGGCAATATTAAGACATGGTGGAAGCACCTGTTGTGGGTACACTGACTGTGCTCCTCCCTGAAAATATGAAGTCTGCTTTTGCCAGTGCTGTATGTTTCCTGAGTCTGCAGCGTTGGTAGCAGCTACATTCATGGCACCTGTAGTGGTTCTTTTTGTTAACCATCATTCCTGTTGCTATCCCTTTCCCTCATTCATGTTTTGTAATTGGAGAAGAATGTAAAGTCTTGAATGCAGTGTACACAGAAGGCTTCTTGGATTCATTCCTCCTTAGTAGAACCATTATGGGTGGACTCCAAATCTTCAAGATTAGTTTGAAAGCTCCTGGTGTTCCCTCCATGAAACTTCATAGCATGTGCCTAGGGGGAGAATAAGAAACAAGAAAGTAAAACCAGCAAAGTCTCCCTTCTCTTCTTACAGCTAACCAATAAGAGGAAATCATTGCTTGTGCACATAGCACCTTGCATTGCCACTGGTGGAGGTGGCAGTCACAGGGAGACACTGGGTCCCATGACATATCAACCTGTCAAGTTGGAGTAGCCTCCATTAAAGAATAGATCAGGATGGTTAGGATGCTGTAGTTGGTATCACAACATTGGATATGAAATTAAGAGCTGCTGACAGCTAAGGAACCTCTGAAATTCACATTTGGGAGACACTTTGGAGCAGCACTAAGAAACATCAGCCTCCCAATGGACTCATTTGCCCTGTAGCTCTGCCACAGGTGATTCATTTTCCAGGTAAGCCTCAGTACTAGAGTTTCTGCAGGACCGTTAGCTGCTCTCCCCCAGGTGCCCTGGCCCCATTTTTTAGTCTCTGCAAAGGCTTACCTCTGGGCTTGTGTCCTCTTCCTTAGGCTCAGGCACAGTCAATGTGTTGTCAGCTGTGTCCTCCTGTGTATGGCTGTGAGCATCCACTGCTGGTCTCAGAATGTGAACAAGATTCTCCCAGTGAGCAAAAAGATCCTCCGTTGTGTCTGCAGGAGGACTCAACTGGAGGTAAAAAGAGTGGCCAGTGGCAAGCTTCAGGCGGAGCTGTTTTTTGTTACTGTTGTGGATGGTTATCTTTACAAACTTCAAGGGAAGCAGCCTGGTTAGCTCTAAGGCCTGTGCAGGCTTGATGACTCTTTCCTGTTTGCCTCCAGCGTGTTCATCGATAGGAGCTGGCCGGGCCAGCAGCATGACATCAGGTAGCGCAAGGCAGGGGCTGGTGCGAACAACGCCCAGAGTCAGCGTTTGGGCGCGGTTGTGCACATCAATCATTTCTCCTCTTTTGTTGATCTGGATGAAGTCACTCTCAAACATCGGTGTATAGCTAAACATAGTGTATTCCCCTTTGTACAGTTGTTGCTGCAGTTTCCCCATGGCAGTGTTAAACATGCTCATTGTGGAGCTGCTGTGGGGTGTGCAATTCAGTAACAGAAACTGGCTATTCACGGTTATCTTTCATCAAGACAGCTTTTGAGGGACTGCTGCAAGGCCCCTTAAGACACGTGCAGGTCTCCTGTTTCCCAGGATTCTTCAGCAGGTGGGCAGATGGTCCTCTTCTGCAGGGTTTTTTGTTCTTGAGCTGGGTGGAGGCTCTGATTGCTAACTTCTCCGTGCTGGAGATGGACCTCTGGAGCCAAACTGTGGTCTTCCTGTTGCTTATGGGCACAAATGTCCAGGATCAGGTAGAGGGCACTGATGTTGGGCCCTTGTAAGTGTTGGGTCCTGGTGGATGTCAAGGCCCATAGACGCTGGGGTGCGTAGATGTTGTTGCTCACTCAGGAGGGACTTCCCTTGACCCTAGCACACTTGATCACAATAGACTTTGTTCTTTGATTCTACAACTTCAATTGCCACCCATCTTAATGTTCCTCTCCTTTGGAAACTGAAGCAGCCACCTTATCCTAAAGCAACTCTGGGGACTGCTCTTATCCTCCCCTGTGCATTGTGAGCTGTCCCTATCACATACCCCTTTGTCTCTGTCATAGCACAGCCCCACCCTCAGCAGGAACATAGTCATCTCCACTCCACTCACCACAGCTCAGAAAGACCCCCTTGCCTTTCCCTCAGGATTCTCTCTAGGGATCTTAACACAAAATGACAAACTGTATTCTTTTATCCAGTACTTGTAATTTCAGATATTTATCTTAAAGGGAGAATTGGAACGTTGGTGAACAGGTTAGTACAGGATTTTCTACAGTGTTTATTGTAGCATAAACATAAGATTAATATACAAAAATAAGATTAACATGTAAAAGCAAGATTAGTATCCTCCAATAGGGGATTGCTTAAATAAATTATGGAATATTCTGTCATAGAATACTCTGCAGTCATAAAAATGAATATGTAACTCCTTATTTACTGACATTAAAATATATTGTTTTTCTTAAAGAGAGAAAAACAGAGTTTAAAGCAGGATCATTAGTATGATTCAGTTTATGTGAAATGATCAGTGTGTATGTTTGGGTATGGAATTATGTTCAGTGAAATGTTTTTCTGCTGTAATTTTTATTTTCTTCTTTATATTTTTATTAGGAAAATTACTATTTCTATTACCTAGAAAATGAATCCAGTTTTACTGGTGATGTCTTTTTTTGTCTTAAACCACAGTAAGTTTTACATTTTGACTCACCTTTGAATTGCTAGATGATGTTTTTAAGCTTTGACCTGGCTAGACAGTGAGGAGCCTTAAAGATCACATTCATGTTCCCTCTATTCTTTGCTCACTATCAGAATGTATTGAATAAAAAAAAAGAACACTGAGGAATTTTGGTAACTAATACAAATATTATCAATTTAATGAGATTATGAAATATTTGTTGACAGTATATGATAACTCACGTGCGCATTTATGAGCGATCTTCAGAAAGTTCATGGAAAATGTGTTTTATGAAAAAATATGGGTGGACTTCAAAAAATTTTTTGCATTAAGATCAACTTCTTTTAAAAAAAAATTATGTGAGAGGTAGAGAAACAGAAAAAGGGAAAGGCAGAGTAAAGTTTCATATTTTCTGGTTCACCCTTAAATGTCTGCACAAGTGGGGCTGAGCCAGCCCAAAGTCAGGAAGCAGGAACTCAGTTCTCATACTACTTATGTAGTACCCTTGTAGTCTTCATTGTGTGGACTATAAAACATTACATGAATGTAAATCCTCCTACTATGATTTGAATCTTTGTTAGTTTTTGAATAGCATTGTTTCAACAATGTTTACTAAGTTCATAACTTCTGAAGAAGAAGGTCATGGTTCTTGTCCCTGTGTGCATCAATTCTCACAGACAATGCAGATCATAACATACTGAATAAAACATGTTTTTTGTACTCATTCTTTTTTTTAAGATTTATTTATTTATTTGAAAGGCAGAGTTACAGAGAGGCAGAGGCATAGAGAAAGAGGAGGGGGGGGAGAGAGAGAGAGAGAGAGAGAGAGAGAGAGAGAAAAGTGTACCATCTGCTGGTTCACGCCCCAGATGACTGCAAGAGCCAGGGCTGAGCCTGGCTGAAACCAGGAGCCAGGAACTTTTTCCACGTCTCCCATGTGGGTAGCAGGTGCCAAAGCACTTGGGCCATCATTCACTACCTTCCCAGTTGCACAAGCAGGAAGCTGGATCAGAAATGGAGCAGCCAGAACTCTAACTGGAGCCCATATGGGATGCTGTGTCGCAAGTGGTGGCTTAACCCACTGGGCAACAATGCCGGCTCCAGTTTTGTTTTTTTTTTTTTTATATTGAAATGTTTAGTTATTTCTGATGAGCAGTTGGCTTTTCTTATTTAATTATTTATTTATTTACTTGAAAGTCACAGTTACCCAGAGAGAGATGGAGAGGCAGAGAGAGATAGAGGTCTTCCATTCACTAGTTCACTCCCCAATTGGCCACAACAGCCAGGAGCTTCTTTCGGGTCTCCCACATGGGTGCAGGAGCCTAAGGACTTGGGCCATCTTCTGCTTTCCCAGGCCATAGCACAGAGCTGGATCAGAAGTGGAGCAGCCAGAACTTGAACCAGAGTCCATATGCGATGCTGGCACTGCAGGTGGCAGCTTTACCCGGTATGCCACAGTGCCGCCCCTCCCCCCGCCCAAGCAGTTTGCTTTTCTATTTTTTGAGATGCGTATTCAGATCATCAATGACACCTCTTACTGGCCTTTCCAAAGTCCTTGTATCTTAATATCCACTTCAAATTGTGTAATTAGCAAACACAGCAAGCTTGATATATTAAAAAGTATCTAAGTGGTTCTGATTATTTTCGAAAGGAGAAGCTGGGTAGGTAGCATTAAATACTGTATAATTTAATTTAGATGCTTTTTAGAAAAAAATTATAGATATATCAACCTTCTTAACAGCACTTATTTTTCATGCACATATTTGACAAGATATTTTTCTAAGAATTCCATTGGAACACTTGATTTAATTGTCTTGTCTCCAGGGAAACCTGCAACAGTGTAACTCATGGAACCTATAGACTTTCAGATTTTCCAAACTAGTCATTAGACCAATAACAGTAGAACCTTTTTATTTGGCTTGATACCCATTGTATGCAGCATTCTAGAAAAAGTGCCTCTTTTTTCATGAATCTGATTAATCTTATTGGGTGTATGTGAAATTCCTCCAGCTATTTTTTAAAAAGATTTATCAGAGTGACAGGGAGAGAGACACAGAGAAGGATCTTCCATCTGCTGATTCACTCCCCCAAATGGCTGCAATGTTTGGGGATCTGCCAGGCCAAAGCCAGGAGCCAGGAGCTCCATCCAGGTTCCCCACAAGTGACAGGGACCCAGGTACTTGGGCCATCTTCTGATGCTCTCCTGGGTGCATTAGGCAGGGAGCTGCATTGGAAATGAAGTGGGGGGAACAGGAACCAGTGTTCCAATGGGATGCTAGTGTCTCAAGCTGCTGTGCCACAGTACCAGCCCCTCTTCTAGCTTTTAGGAAACTACCCTATTAGTATTAGTCTCAATACTTGAGAAGTTCAGATGGCTAAATATAAATCTACCTGTTGGAGTCTGCATTGTGACATAGCAAGTAAAGCCACTAGTTGTGATGCTGGCATCCCATATGGGCACTGGTTTTGTGTTCAGGCTGCTACACTTCTGATCTAGCTCTCTGCTAATGGCCTGAGAAAAGTAGCAGAAAATGACCCAAGTGTTTGGTTCTCTGTCACTCACATTGGAGGCCTTGATGAAACTTCCAGCTTCGGCCTGGCCCAGTGCTGGCCATTGTGGCCATCTAGGGAGTAACCAGCAGATGGGAGATCTCTCTCTCTCTCTCTCTCTCTCTCTCTGTAACTCTTTCAAAATGAATAAATCATTAGAGGGAATTTACGAGTCAGAAAGTTTCTCTTAAAAGTCCAACTGAGGGCTGGCGCCGTGGCTCACTAGGCTAATCCTCCGCCTTGCGGCGCCGGCACACCGGGTTCTAGTCCTGGTCGGGGCGCCAGATTCTGTCCCGGTTGCCCCTCTTCCAGGCCAGCTCTCTGCTGTGGCCAGGGAGTGCAGTGGAGGATGGCCCAAGTACTTGGGCCCTGCACCCCATGGGAGACCAGGAGAAGCACCTGGATCCTGCCATCGGATCAGCGCAGCGCGCCGGCCCCGGCGGCCATTGGAGGGTGAACCAACGGCAAAGGAAGACCTTTCTCTCTGTCTCTCTCTCTCTCACTGTCCACTCTGCCTGTCAAAAAAAAAAAAAATCCACCTGAACCTGAGATTAAGAAATCCTTGTATTCTTTCTGTACACTTGTTCTTAAGGAAGATTTCAATATAGTTAGTCATTAGATATTCTTAAAATTTGGCTGGGTCCTCTACATTAAAATGTATGTCATTGGGTTAATCATTTAGCTTCCTGGGGCCATATTTTTCTCAGCCTTAAAATTGAGATGATCCCTTGCAATCCTTTCAACTCCAGAATAGTTACGGGTTTGTGATAAGGATTTAACTTATTCCCTCTGTTATAAATTTTTACATATTTTTGAAATACTCTGGAGGATAATAATGAAAGCATTATTCAAATAGCAGTTCTGGGAATTGTGTAATTCAATGTATAATTTTATTCTGCCGCTGAATTTCTTCTTTGTGAAACTTTTAATTAATCAATGCTTGAAGTGCGGAAATGGAAAAAAGTTCATTCAGTAAGGTAGGAAATCAGTGCCAGCATTGCTTAAAAGTAATTAAAAACACGTGTTAATCATTTAAACAAAATTCATTTCACGATGAACATGGCTGCAGTAGGCAATAATTATATTAAAAATTGTCTACACCCTAACCTTCACAGTCTGTGACTATGTTCCCTTATATGGAAAAGGGACTTTGCAGTTATGAGTAATTTAAAGATCTTGAGATGATGGTACTATCTGTATTATGCTGTGGGCCAAATGGAATTAGAGTTGCCTTTATAATTGGAAGACAGAGTAAGAGACAGAGATGTGATAATTAAAGTAGAGGTCAGAGTGAAGTAGCCATGCACTGAGAAACAGGGGCAATTTCCGAAGGCTAGAAAGGCGGAAAATGGATTCTTCTGTAGAACATCCAGGAGAAACCAGCCCTGCTTACACCTTGGCATTAGCTCAGTGAGAATCACTGTGGAGTTTTGACCTGAGGAACTGTAAGGGAATACATTTGCATTGTCTAAGCCAAGTTTGTGGTAATTTGTAATGGCAGTGCTAAGGCACTATGACAGACTTGTGTATGTAGAAAAGAAGAAATTCTGAAACAAAACACAAACATGTAGGAACGGATTAGGAATAGAGTTTTGAGCAGAGGCTGGATGAATTTTGAGGAGTAAATGATGGAAAAGGCTGTGTTGCCTTGAATAGAAATGTAAATGTTAAACAGTCCACTGCTGAGATCTAAGAAAGAAGTTATTTGGTAGAGAAAATCATATTGTCTTATAGAATACCTGGG